GAGAGCGGTTCTGTCCGCGTCGAGGACCCCCCGCGGGTCCCGCCCCCGGCCGCCGGCCCCCCGGCTCCGAGCCCCGGAGATACTCACGCGCCCTCGGCGCCCTGCGAGCCCACGATGAAGCCGAACTTGTCGATGCGGCGCTCGGCAAAGCCGTTGGCCTCTGAATCGGAGCCCAAAGAGCTGAGTTCGTCGGCGGCTGCGGCGTCGGGGCCCGGGGCCAAGCTCTCCCGGGTCCCCGACAGGCTCCCCCCGGCTGCAGGCGCGCGCGGCCCGTTCTCTCCGTGGCTCTTCGCCATCCCGGCCGCGCCCGCCGCCTCAGCCTCAGCGGCCACCTCAGCCACCTCAGCCGCCCGACCTCCGCCGACGCCACCGACGCCCTGCCCATGAGCCGCGCCCATTGGTCGCCACAAAGCCGGGGGCGGGGCCCTAGGCCTTCCCTGGCACCTCCTCCCCCCCATGCCCAATGGGCGCCGCAGACCCCGGGACCCGCCCACCTCCCCCAGGCTGGCGCCAACAGGCCCGACGTGAGGGGGCGGGGCAGCCGTCACCCGAAGCCCTCCCCCCTGGGCTGCCAATCACTAGAACACCTGAAAAAGCTTCTCGGGCCTTTCCGGGTTAGCCCGGGCCTGGTCCGACACCTGCCGCACCGCCCAGGCCGAGACCGAGGGCTCCCTCTGGGAATTCCGCCTCTGCCTCCTGAACCCCCACACTCCTCGCGAGACCCTAGGGACGTGGGTGGGGATTGTCCTCCCATTCATTTATGAGGAGCTCTGAGGAGACGCGGGATGGGTCCGGGGACACGCCCAGGGACACTCGGCGGCTTAAAGACCTAGGCTGAGCTATAAGTTCAGCAGCCCCTTCCTTCCCCCTGCTCACTGTTTCTGGGGCTTTAGAGAGGCCTAATTAGTAAGATAATGACCAACGACTATTGAGCTACTCGCTGCCCCGAGTTCTACCTACTTTCTCTTCTAATTTTTATTTTTCCAACAGCTTTATTGAGATATAATTAACATAACATAAAAATCGCCCGTTTAAAGTGTATAATTGTTTTAAGCATATTTATAGTTGTGCAACCATCCCCATTATCTAGTTTTAGAACATCTTCATCACCCCAAAAAGAAATTCCTATCTTTACCAGTCACTCGCCATCCTTCCTCCCCCAGTCCCTGGCAACCACTAAAATTTCTGTCTCCATAGTTTTGCTTTTTCTGGACATTTCATATTAATGGAGTCATACAGTATTTGGCCTTTGTGTCTGGCTTCTTTCACCTCGCATGTTTTCAAAGTTCATCCATGTTGTAGCATGTATCAGTACCTCCATTCCTTTTTGGGGCCAAAAACCATTCCATTGTATGGACATATCACAGTTCATCTATTAATCTGTAGATGGACATTTGGGCTGTTTCCACCTTGTGGTGATTGTAAATAGTGCTGCTATAAACATTTGGGTAGAAGCTTTCGTGTGGACATTTATTTTCATTTCTCTTAGGTAAATAGCTAGGAGTGGGAATTGCTGGGTCTTTAACCTTTTCAGGAACTGGCAAGCTGTTTTCCAAATTGGTCACACCAACTCTTATAATCTTTTAGCAAGGAGGTAGATACTACTTTTAGTCCCACTTTACAATTAAACTGAGGTGCAGGGAAGTGATGTCAGCTGCCTGAAGTCCCAGAACTAGTTTGTGGCAGAGCCAGGATTTGAACCTAGCTCTTACCAACATTTTCTACTGGGAAGCATAGGCCAATTGTATCTAGACTTAGCTCCCAGCAGCCTACTTCTGACCCCATGGATTATCAACTCATGGAGTCATGATGATAGCTCCTCACTTAGGTCCAGCACTTTTTGGCTCTTAAGTCACAACCATGTTGTCATCTGACACTCCCCTGTAGACCTATCAGGAGACAGGCCCAGAGAGGGGAAGGGACTAGAAGAGCCAGGCCTGAGCTGCAGAGCCTGGGACAGGTTGCTAAGGGGCCCAAAGCAGCCCTAAGAGGGGAGGTCTTAAGCCCTGAGTGATCTCACCAGCCGTTTCCTTAATGCCATGTGGCCCAGACATTCTTAAAGACTTCACTGTGCAGTCTTGACATTCCATAGGCTTCTGTTTTCCATAAACAGGGCAACAGCAGACACATGCTATTTTGGTCTTAAACTCTCAGTCTGGGAGGACGTGTTCCACCTCTCTAGTAGTTCCAGAGTGGTGGGCTCTTAGTCCCAGCTCCCAGGAAGGACAGAGTAGGCCTCGCAACAGGGTGTGGGCCTATCCCAGGGAAGGGAGAAAGAGGAGTCAGACGCACATGGATCAGATGTGAAGCACCAAGCCTGACAAAGTACCCACAACCCTTTGACTATAATTCTGGTTCTAGGCTCATATCCCAAACACGTTCAGCTCTGTGAGGCACATGTACAGTGATGTTCACTCCAGGGGTATCTGGGGTGGGGTTGGAGGAGCAGGCCAGAAGCATCCAGGGAGACTGGCTAGATATTGACCTCAAGTTAAGGCCTTGATGCTCCAGCTTCTGATTTTCTTACATAAGACCACCCAGGGGAATTCCCTGGTGGTCCAGTGGTTACAACTCAGCACTTTAGGATTCTGCAAGCCACACGGGGGGTGTGGCCAAAAAAACCCCCACCACCCAGGATTCAAATCTCTGCTGTCACTGTGTGACCTTGAGCAAATCACTTCTGAGCCCATTTCCTTATTTGCAAAATGGAAATGATGAAAAAATATCTCCTTGGAGTTGTTGTTCTGAGACTTTTAGTGTGATGGTACATGGTAAACATCTGGCACATGGAGATTCCCAGTAAATGGTAGCCAGAGGTCGTGGCATTTGTAGTTTGCCAAGCACTAGCAAATTCGTTATTGTCTTGAGTGTCTCCCACCACAGCCTGTGGCTGCAGCAGGGGAATTTTCCAAATTTAACTAACGGCACATTGCTTGGGAGACTTCGCTTCATGGCTCTGCCCCTCAATAACTGGATGTTCTTATGCAAAATTGTTTAGCTTCTCAGACCCTTTCCTCTTCTGAAAAACAGGAATGTCAGTAATTACTTGAAGAGTCAAGCTTCCAGCACACAGTAGATACGTAATAAATGTTAGCTCTTTACACTTCAAAATCCAGAGCTCTTTAACTTATTTGATGTTACCCTAGTAACCCCTGGGGGAAGGGGTGGGCAGAGGTGGGGGCAGAAGGAAATGAGGAAGCCTCTGTGCAGGGATCTGGGAGAAGGATGTATGAGAAGCAGGGCAGCAAGTGCAAAGCCCTTGAAAGGGAAGCAGGCTCAGAAGATGGTGTAGTTAGACTGGAGAAAGAAAGCAGAAATGAATGAATGAATGAATGGTCCAAAGGAATGCCCTACAGAATCACATGGTTCACTGGAGTATAAAATAAGAGGCCTTTGGCAATGCTGTGAAACGTCCTGGTAGACTGGCTGTTGTAAATGTTCTTTTGAGGATGAGATGCTTGGCCAGGGCTACAGCAACGTGTTGAAAAACTCGAGGCTCGGGGCTTCCCTAGTGGCGCAGTGGTTGAGAGTCCGCCTGCCGATGTAGGGGACACGGGTTCGTGCCCCGGTCTGGGGAGATCCCACATGCCGCGGAGCAGCTGGGCCCGTGAGCCATGGCCGCTGAGCCTGCGCATCCAGAGCCTGTGCTCTGCAATGGGAGGGGCCACAACAGTGAGAGGCCCGCGAACCGCAAAAAAAAAAAACAAACAAACTCGAGTCTCATCCTACTGGGGTCTTTCCTCGAAGTTTTGCCTCAGGCCCTAACACGAGTCCCTGCACAGTCCCCTCTCCTGGATCCTGGAATGTGCTTAGGAAATCTGTCAGTGTGCAGTGCCAGGAGCAGACAGATGTCCAGATATCAGCCTTTAGCCATAATGAGAGCAGAGCTGAGGTTCAGAAGGTACGTAGCTGGTGCCCAGGAACCTATGAAAAGTAGGCAAACTATAAAGCTTCTTTATCCCTACACTGAAGATAACAGTTAAGAATCTTTTGGTAAGTGGCAGAGAACACAACTCAAATGGGTTTAACCTAAAACTGCACTTAGTGGGTCCCAGAGCTTAAAAACATTCACAGGTGCATAAGCTTCAGGAGCAGTTTGATCCAGAGACTGTCACCAAGGATATTAGCCTTGTTTTCCCTTTTTCTTTTCCTGTGGTTGCTTTATCCTCAAGCTACAGCCCCTCATGGCAGCAGCTCCAGGTTCACATGCTTCCTCCATACATACATACAATGGATGACTCTTCTGGTAGCTTCTGCTCCATGGTGGGGAGGCTGCATTCCTTCACTCCATACGAGGACACATGCCTATCCCTAATCTAATCATCCCCACAGCTCAGGGCTAGGGAACACAGACTTGCTTAACTGAACTTAGCTTAAGGCAACAGTAGTACCTTCTTGTAATATGATAAAGAACAGGAGTGTAACTTGTCCTACTTCGAGATTGTATGACTCAGGGTACCTAGAATTACTTACATGTATTTTTAAAATAAAACAATTACATATAGTTAAGATCAAATCCCCAAATCAGTTAAAAATCTGAACTTTAAGAACTTACATTTCACTTTTATTTCTAAAAAGTAACTTTTAAGAATCTTAAATACTAACTCATGTACTTTTTATTATTTTTAAATAAATTTATTTATTTTTGGCTGCATCAGGTCTTCATTGCTGAACACGGGCTTTCTCTAGTTGCAGTGAGCGGGGGCTACTCTTCGTTGTGGTGAGTGAGCTTCTCATTGCGGAGTACAGGCTCTAGGCGTACGGGCTTCAGTAGTTGTGGCACGTGGGCTCAGTAGTTGTGGCTCATGCGCTCTAGAACGCAGGCTCACTAGTTGTGGTGCACGGGCTTAGCTGTTCCGCGGCACGTGGGATCTTCGCAGACCAGGGCTCAAACCCGTGTCCCCTGCACTGGCAGGCGGATTCTTTAACCACTGCGCCACTAGGGAAGCCCCTCATACATTTTTAAACATGAGCTATATTGTACTTTTTTACCTTTTTGATTTTTGCATTATAAGGATAAATGAAATATTATCTGTAAAGATTGCTATAATTACAGTATATCACATATTTCAAGTATCCTAATATAACTTTTGTACACATTCTCTTAATACAATATGTAATTTTAAAACGTGAAATGGGTCTAATCATTAGTAGCCTCCTCTGGGCTACATGGTAATAAGTGCTCATTTCAAGCAGCTGGTGGAACTGAAAGTGAAATTTCTTAATGTCTACTCCTCCTAGAGCCCTCTTCATGCAAGTCTTTAAAATTACAGTGAGCCTGAAAGCACCAAGACATGCCCGGTTTTCCCAGCAATCTCACAACAGGAGCATTTCTCCCCATTTCACAGTCTGGTCTGGCAAAGTGGTGAGGACAGTGTGGTCACCAGGAATAGAAGAGCTGCTCTGGCCTTCCAGAGCCCTCACTGGACTTGGGTATCCACCTTATCTAAAAAAATGGGCCAGATAATCCTCAGAGGAATGCAATGAGAATCAGAAAAACTGTGCAAGCAAGGCGATGCCTACACGCTGCGGGTTCTAAACAAGAAGTGCAGAGCACTGGGCTGCACGCTGGGCCTGCAGCCACTGACGATTGCAAAGCTGGTTTGGTCAATGGGTCTTCTGCAACTGAGTGAGCCAGGACAGATGTTCATTCAGGAACTCCAGGAAGCTGAGATTGGGCCCCAGAGAGCAGCTTCAAGGACCCATTCACTCACATTCCACCCAGCAGCATTCCTGGCCTCCAGTCGCAGCCTCAGTCATGGAAGGCCGGTGAGATCTGCCAACCTGTGAAGGAGAGATTGGCCCCAGAGCCAATCCTAGGAAGAAAGAAGAGCTTGGAGTACGGGACTCCCCCAGCTCTACTGACCCCTTTCCCTCTTGGAACAAGACCCAGGGGGTGTTCAGGGGATTTCTGGTGTTAGCTGGGGAAAAGCAACCAGCAGTGGGCTCACTTCAGGCACCCAAACCTTGGAGCTTCAGGAAGCCAAATTTCAGCCCTGGCCCCTAGGGGAAACTTCTAGCTACCAGGCGGGAAGCAAATGTCAGAGTGAGGAATAACATCCCACTGACCAAGTTTAAAATGTGAGCAGTTTGTAAAGGAGCCACATAACTGGCACTGCAGAAGGGCCACTTGAGCCCTAGGTCTAGAGTTGGAAGCTTTGAGCTTGGTGAGGGGGTGGAGGGGATGGTGACTAGAATACTGTTACCTTGGGAATGGCTTCACCCCTCTGAGCCTGGGAGATGACTGCACAGGATGAAATGGAAGGACTGCAAAGAAAAGGCACTAGGAAGTCTCAGGGGATAAACACATGAGATCTTCAGAATGAAATCAACTTTAAGTTTAAAACCAGGAAATGGTTATCAACAGGCTCTCACCTTCCTCCCTGTGAACACCCACCCACAGCAGCACCTACTCCCTGTGACAGCACAACTCCAAAAATAACAGCCTGTGTCTGGCCCTTACTAGGGGGCAAGGACTGACAAGTGTTTTGCACACATTCTCCTTTTATCTTCTTACTGTGTGACAGTGGGCATGTGATTCAGAATCTCTGTGCCTCAGTTTACTCAAGTGTAAAACAGGAACACCCACCTCAGGATTACATGAGTTAGGGAGTTCCCTGGTGGCCTAGTGGTTAGGATTTCAGGCTTTCACTGCCATGGCCTGGGTTTAATCCCTGGTCAGGGAACTGAGCTCCTGTAAGCCACATAGTGCAACCAAAAAAAATTTTAAAAATTTACATGAGTTAAAATTGATAAAGTGCTTAAAACAATAAGGAGTAGTTGGCTAAATTTTATAAAGTTCTTAAAATAGTTCATGGCCTTGGCACAATGAAGTATTTTTAAAATAAACACATTTTTTAAAAAAACCCTCATCACAGGGCTTCCCTGGTGGCGCAGTGGTTGAGAGTCTGCCTGCCGACACAGGGGACACGGGTTCATGCCCCAGTCTGGGAAGATCCCACATGCCGCGGAGCGGCTGGGCCCGTGAGCCATGGCCGCTGAGCCTGCGCGTCTGGAGCCTGTGCTCCACAGCGGGAGAGGCCACAACAGTGAGAGGCCCGTGTAGAGCAAAAAAAAAGAAACAAACAAACAAAAAACCTCATCATATACTTGTGCTCACTCAGGATAAGCAACCTGCCCAAGGTCACTTATCAGATGATGATGAGTGATCCCTGGCCTGCAGGAAACTGCCACCCTCTAGTCTCATCTGCATGCTGCCCACTGACCTAGGAACTACATCCCATCTGTCTGTGTTCTTTTGTGGTCCTGGCATGTGGAAGGCATGTTATATGTATTAGTCTGTTATAGGTACAGGGCTATGCCTTTGGGGGATCCATGTGTTTCAAAAAGGCAATAAAAATATATCGAAGAAAGAGTCATAGAAGACTTGATGGCAGCAAGAATGTAGTTAAAAGCCCAGCATTCCTCAGAGCAGAAGAGGAGCCACAAGGCACTGTGCCATGCTCCTAGGTCTGGGCAGGGCACAGGTGGCCAGGAGACAAGTCTCATGACATTAACTTCACGAGAAGGGTCGGAGAGGTTTATTAGCCCATGGCAAGATACAAAATGATTAATGATAACAACCATATTCTATCAGCCAAGTGTCACTTGGCATTATGATAACATCCTATAGGACATCCCTGGTTTCACTTTCCCTAATGGGCTACCTGAAGAAATGACCCCTCAAATCAAGACCCAAACACAAAGGGATTCCAGGGGCCACTGGGGAGGAGAATGCCTGAGAAAGCCCTCTCTGATCAATGTGGGGAGGGAAACTCTGCAGGACAATTTGGATTTCCAAACTTAGTAAGAGGGAAACAAATGTGCAAGGCAGGGTCTCCTGGGTCTGGGACAGGGGTAGGGAACAGGAGAGGCAAAACGGCAGTAGTTGGGACCTGAGAGCAGGTTTCTCTCTTCTACTTCTTCCTCCCGCCTCTCTCCTTGAGCGCCAGGTGGATGATGGCACCGTTAGCCATGTTATAGTAAGCCAGCGAGTTGGAATCCTTGATGAAAATGCCCTAGAAAACAGATGTAGTGCCTCAGCCCAGGGCAATCTGGCCTTGAACTCAGAGAGCAGCCTCACAAGTCCCAACACTCTGAACTTAGCAAATACAAGGGCTTGAAGGAAGGTGGGGTGGGAAAGGGAGTGGCACAGGGCAGGAACGAAGGTCTCTGCTTCCTCCCAGAATGCTTTGCTTTTCCTTCCTTCCGACCAAGCCATGCTGTCAAGACCCCAAAAATCTGGCCCTGACCAACCCCATGGAATTTTGACTCTCAAATCATAAGACCTTTAGAGATCAACTAGTTCAACAGCCTCACTTTACAGAGGAGGAAACTGAGGCCCAGAATGGGGATTTGTCTAAGTCCAAAAAGGGAGAACACAGCAGTCCTCTGTGACCTGGCAGGCACCAAGGTGAGCTGGACTATCACCTTTGTGTCCAAGCACAAAGCCAGGCTACCTGAGACCACACTGACTGGGATGGCTCTACCACTGGGACAGAAACCTACCAGAGCACTCTAAAGTCTGGTTCCCAGATGTCAATGAGGCATTCAAACCCCATACAAGACTGTGCTGTGACCCCGCCAGAGCCTCACCCTGTCAGACTAACCTGTCCCAGCACCCCCCACCAGCATCATCACTTCCAGGATGGACTCAAATGACCACACCCAGGTGTCTCCCCACTCCTCTGATTCCACAAGGGATTTATTAGCTTCTCGGACAACAGAGGGGGCAAGGACTACAGACACCCAACTCACCTCATACTGCAGCTTCTGTTTCCCTGCCGGCATGCCCGTGGCTTCGTGAATCTTCACCTTGATGACAGAGACCTACGGGACCGAGGAGAGGTCAGTCACCTCTTGCTAAGGTCAGCTGCAGGAAGCTTCCCCCTGACTCTTTGGTTCCCCTGTACCTGATACCACTTAGGGAGAGCAACTCATACCTGGTCTGTGAGTGGGAGGGTGAAGACCAGCACCTGTCCGTTCAGCTTCCATTCCGTCTTATCCTGCATGTTGGGCACCTGGACTTTGATGGACACTGGACCCTGCAAAACAGGAGGTGGCCATTATGCCTGGGGAGGCCTGAGTCAATCAGCAACTACGCTCTCCTATTCCTGGGCCAGTCGAGACAATGTCACCTGTCCATCAGGGCTCCTGGACTCTGGCCTGTTTCACTACTGACACCACTTGTGACACAGAACAAATCACTCCCCCTTTTCAAGAATTGGTTTCCCTTCTTTAGAAAAATCCCTGCCTACTGGTAAGGCTGGAGCTGAAGAAGAGACATGAAAGTGCTCTGCAAGCCTCAAGAAGTACCACAGGAGAAAAGAATATGAATTGCGAGGTCAGAAGACCTGGGTTCCCAACTCAGCTTCCCTGCTAACTAGGTCTCTCTGAGCCTCAACGCCATGTCTGTAAAGCAGTTGATCACAACTGCTGGATGGTGATGTTGTGAGCATTCAACAGACCAAGTACCTGTAAAATGTGTGGCTCTGCCCCAACACTTGAGTAGGTACTCAAGAAATGGAAACTACCATCAAAAAGGAAAAAAGAAAAAAGCTTTGGTCAAATGCACTGGGCGGGGCAGAACGTTTCTGCCTCCTCACTGGAGCTTCCCCAGGCACCAGCAGTGCCAAGATTCCCAGCTCTTATTTCTAGTACCCCCACAGGATCCCCACAACACACCACCTTCTAAGGGCTGGACCTGGAGGCAAAGGCCACAAAGAAATTAAGAATCGCACCCAGGATTCCCTCCAGTGTCCAGAACCCCTTTCACACCTGAGTCCTACTGCCTGTGCAGCTGGGTCTCCCTGCTGGCCTCTGCGACAGCTCACACCAGGGGGACTACTGACAGCTGTCTGTTCTGGCTGCTGACCCCCCCATCTAGTGTGTGCTCAGAAGTTTCACGGGCCTCCAATGGCTGGCCCAGGTCCCAGAAGCCAAAACCATGGAAGAATAGGGTGGGCCAGGGAGCGTGTGACTGGAGCAGGACTGGACAACCCCCTCGCCCCATCTAGACACTCCAGGCTGTGGGCAGCACTCTGAGATGCATACCTTGTTTCTGCGTAGAAACTCCTCTTCTGGCATGAGGCTGTCCTCAGTCTTCAGTTTCTTGGAGGCAGGCTCATCTTCCATGGGAGGTGGTGGGTGGACAGGCGGCATAGGGGCTGGAGCTGGGACGGGTGCCACAGGTGGTGCTGGCACGAAAGCTGCAAGAACAGGAATAAGCAGCCACGTGAGTGGGAGGAAGGGCCCAGGACTCAGGGCTGGTGAGAGTGAAAAGGGGATTGCAAAGGTTTCCCATTTCTCCCAGTCAGAGGTGTGAAGGACCACTCCTTACTGAATCTGGCAGCCAGTAAGTTACCTGGCAGGGGGACCTGGGAGACTGCCCAGATTGGGTAGCAGGAAACTGAAGGAAGGGCAGGACCGATGGATGGAACAGGTGGCAGCCAACAGCAAGCATCATCAGGCCTCTGTGCCTGTCCAGGCTGACCCCTCTGGGTGCACAGACCCCAGCTCTGCCATATCAGCCTATCTCCCCCAGGAGCCGTAAGTTCCTGGCTCCCAGCTCAGGGATCTCTCACATGGTGAACTCAGGGCTCTCCTTTGGGCTAGACCACCAGCTGGAACAGCTGGCAATACCATCAGCCACTGCTCTGCTCAGGGCTTGGCCTGTAGTCCTGACCCACTGACCTGTCGGCACAATCATGGGTGGTGGGCGGGGTGCCATGATAGGAGGGGCCGAGGGAGGCATGGGCACCACGTTGATCCTGGGCGCATGGATGATCGGTGGCATGGGGGCGATCACTGAACCGGGAGGCAGTCGGACCACTGATGCCATCGGGGGCCGGGGCATGACGGGTACTGCAGACACAACTGTGGTACGGACGGGAGGTGGCATCTGTGGGGGTGAAGACCCACAGGTCACAGGATGCCAAGGCTGCACTCTAAGGGCACACACAGCTGGCAACTCCCCACCTGCAGCTTTGAGGATGGGGCTGGATAGCTTCGACTCAGCCCCCTGGGGCTGTGAGTGCAGCCTCACACTGGGCCCTGACAGGAACTATGCTGAGAGAGGCCCAGGGCAACCCTCTTTCCACTTGGGACTCAACCAGCTGCTCTTGGCAAACACTGAGAGAGCCACTGAAGACACTGACCTCCATTTAGCCCCCTGGAGTCAGGCCAGCAGTCCTCCAAGACCCATTAAGCCCTCCAGCCCATCCCTGACCCAAGCCTACTTCTCACATTTGCCACTCGCCTCCCTCCCTGTTCCAAGCCTCCCACACAGATAGAAGATCAGGCTGGAGGTTCCCACTCCTAACTAAAGGGTTCTTTTTCTCTCGACTTGACCCACTCAGCGCTTGGGCCCACTGTGAGATAGCTGCCCTTCTCAGCCTGCAATGTCTAACCCCAAGAACCCAGCTCTGAAAGACCAGTCACAGGGTGGCTGCTGGCTAACCGCAGGTGGCCGGGGCACCGAGGTAATGGGTGGGGCTGAGCTGGGGATGTTGGTGGCTGAAGACGGAGGTGGTGGCTGCTGGGGGATTTCATTGGGCTTGCTGGGGCCAATCTTCTCTTTGGTATCATCTTCTGGCACCAAGCCCTTAGCCTTGTGGATGGCCTCGATCTGCTCCTGGAGGGTGATATTGGCCTGGGCAGCCTGCTGGGTCCGGGCCATGCTGCCGGAATGGCCATCCCAGGTCACCTGCATGGGAAAGCAAAGCCACAGCTTGTCAGGGCTCCTGGAACTGAGCCCAAGTGTGAGTCTGACGGCGGGGAAGGCACTAAGAGTCATCCGAGCTGCACCTTTTCCTCTGGCTTCTGGATCTCCTCCTCGCCAATCTTCTTACCAATGGCCGTTTCCTCTACACCAAAGATGTCGGTACGCCGCTCAG